CAGCCTCCCAAGTAGCTGGGACTATAGGCGCCCGCCACAACGCCGAGAGCCAGTATCTTCTAATTGAAAATTATTTAAAAAATCAACACCTGCAATGTTAGCTTCCAAAAAAGCAAAACATGAGAGCCACCTCTTAGCTACACTCATGAAGCTTTTTCGAGTATTTATTGTTGTTGAGACTACATTTCTTTTTTTTTTAATTTTTTTTTATTTTTTGCATTTTTTGGCCGGGGCTGGGTTTGAACCCACCACCTCTGGCATATGGAGCTGGTGCCCTACCCTTTTGAGCCACAGGCACCACCTGAGACTGCATTTCTTTTGGACAGTCAGCAAGCACTTTTATCATGCTGGAGAATTCATACCTAGATATTTACATCTAAATTAAAATACAATATAATCTCTTGGCATTTACCCCAGAAAAATGAAAATGTATTTTTTACATGTAAGTTTATATGCATCTTTATTTGTGCTAGCAAAAACTAAAGACTATCCAAATGTCTGTCAGTGGGTGGCTAAACTGTGCTTCACCTATTCAGCAGCAGAATATAGGTTGAGCATCCCTAATTCAAAAAGCCAAAATCTACAATGCTCCAAAGTCCAAAACTTTTTGAGTGCCACTATGACATACTACAAGCTGAAAATTCCACATGGAAATACTTAACAAAAGCTTTGTTTCATGCACAAAATTATTAAAAATATTGTGTATATAACAATGTATATGAAACATAAATGAATTCTGTATTTTCAGTTGAATCCTATCCCCCAAATATCTCATTATGTATAATTATATATATGCAGATATTCCAAAATCTTTCCCTTTTTTTGCAGTTTTGGCTGGGGCCAGGCTTGAACCTACTACCCCCCCCAGTATATGGGGCCAGCGCCCTACTCTTTGGACCTTAGGCACTACCCTTGATATTCCAAAATCTTAAAAATCCTAAATACAAAACACTTCTGTTTCCAAGTATTTTGGTTTGGGGGGTTTTTTGGGTCACGGTCTCACTCTGTTGCTCAGAATAGAATACAGTGTTGTCATCATAGGTCACTGGATACCTCAAACTCCAGGGCTTAAGCAATCCTCCTGCCTTAGCCTACCAAGTAGCAGGACTAAAGGTATACACCACTACGCCCAGCTAATTTTTTTTTTTTTTATATTTTGTAGAAATAAGATCTTGCTATGTTGCCCAGTCTAGTCTTGAATGCCTGGTCTCAAACAATTCTCCCACCTTGGCCTCCCAAAGTGCCAGGACTACAGGTGTGATCCACAATGCCCTCCCAAGCATTTTGGATTAGATAAAGCCCCTAAAGCTCTAGGTTCCTAGAGGTATGTGTCTCCAGCCCCAGCCTTTTGCTCTCCCACCTTTAATTCTCTAATTTTAGTCCCTAGGTTTTTGATCTTTGTTCAATTTGCCTTTACTTTCTTCCAGGCTCACCAATGTGTTTAAAAATACCTTAAATACTTTTAGTGGTTATCTAGGTATTTCTTTTACTGCTAAAAAGACTTCATAGGATACCTATTATAATTATACAAACTTTCCACAAATTCCAAATAGGCTATGAAATCTAAATGCTAAAAAACGAGAATTAACATGTTGACAACAATTTTCTCCTTAGCCACATTCTATCCAGCCTCCTCTGAATTCCCTTCTTAAGTAGGCCCTGACATTTGGGCTTCTATGTTCAGATCTGCATCATCCAATTTTACTAAGAATCCTAAGTCAGTTTAGCCAGAATCCCCCATCCTTGATATCTGATAATGCTCAATATTTCATTGGGTGCCTCATCCTTCTCTGTGCTCTTGGGTGATGTCTGATCACCATTACTTCAGTAAGAATCCTGTTAGTCAGTTTAGCTAGAATACCCCCTTGTTGGTAATTTTCTACCTACTGACACTCTTGATAGTAATTTTCCATCTATTGACTCCCACTCTGTTCACTGGCTATAAATTTCCACTTTTCCTTGTTGTATTTGGAGTGGAGCTTAGTTTCTCTCCCTCACTGCAAAACTCCATTGCAGTGGTCCCTATACTATATCATAATACCTCACCCCCTTAAGTAAAGTCTGCCTTACCATCTTTAACAAGTGTCATAAATACTTAAGCTTCAATGAATTTCTTACATTTTTCATTTCTTTTACTTACCCGTGCAAAGTCAAAATGGGGTTCATACTGTCCTCCAACTCCATAATTTGCTACCTGAAAGAAATAAAACATGAATGAAAGAACTATGAAGATGACTACTCAAAAATCAAGAGCCCCATTTTGGCCTCTTATATATGATATGTACCTATGAATGAAAAGCAAAGTATTTAAAATCATAAGAGTTCTAAGAAAATAAGGATAAAAAGTAAGAATAACTACTAGGAGCTATTTTAGAACTTTAGTTAATATGCTTTTCCTTAGCAAATGTTTGGGAGGACACATTTTTTCCTAATACATAACAAAACTAAAATTTGAGATCTCTATTATTTACTTTCACTGAACACTTGCCTTTGGAATTTAAATTATAAAAAAAAATTTCCCACAGCCTCAAATGAGAGCAAACTCCCAATCTATTTTAACCAAATCCCTTTTATTACATATTTTTTTCCTGCTAAGTTAAAAAGGGAAAAAGTTAACACTAATTTAATTATTCCTGCTGAAGGGCCCTAACAATTTCAGGTGGTTATGACAATGTGTGAAACAGCAAGAAGTTATTTGGTCTGAGTACCAATCCCAGCTCTTTTAATTAAAATGTACGTAACTTTGGATATGATCTATTTTCTTATTTGTAAAATGAGAATGATAAAATGCAGACAAAGTGAAAGAACATAATTAAGAGTGTTGCTACCCGGTTTCTTGTACCTTCAATGAATCCCCAACAATAAATTAAAAAAAAAAAAAAAGCGTGTTGCTGATGAAATAGAAGAACACTGTGGAACTAGAACTACTGCTGGAATGTCTTGCTCTGGGGGAGAGTAGCCATAGCACCGCTGGATCCGTGAAGCTAAGCCCCAACGCCTGAACCCCACCCCTCTCCGAGAGCTGACCTAACATTCCCACAAAGACCTGTAAGCAGCTGTTACACCTCCCCTGTGGGGCCCAAAAGAGGTAGAACTGTTCTAACTACCTCTCTCCTAACCCCTCGGGCAGGAGCTGAAGCTCATACTCCTTCCTAGGTAAACAGTGCTTTGGCAGAGCCCTGCATCACAGAAAAATGCTTCATGCTCCCCACCCTTCAGCCTGAGCTAAAGTGGTCCATTGCTACTGGAGAATTGGTGCCTTGGCCAAGTAAATCAGACGCACATGCCAGGACTGACGTCGTCCCTACATCCCAGGGTAGCAGAGCAGTGGCTGACTGAAACACCCACCCATAAGCAAAATAACCCTAGTACCCCACTTCCCTAGACCTGGACTAGGCCCTAGAGTCTGTGCTGCTGAGGCTCCTCTCCCCAGGGAGCAAAGTCATCACTATGCTGCTCTCTGCCTCACCCCCAGGCCCAATTAACAGCTGTGTTTGGCCATTCTGTGGTACTTACCACTGCTGTACTTGGCCTCACAGTCTGGGATATGGCCACACCCCACTATCCTAGGTTCTAGAGTGACCATTACACAGTGCCTCATCCCTAGGTATCTGAGTTGCCGTCGAGCCTTATGGGCCCAAGCTCCTGAATTATGGCTGTAACTTGTGCCCCACCTCCCAAGCATTAAGTCACAGCTACAACCCAACCCTTTTGGCCAAAGCAGCTAGGAGGCAGCCTCTGAGTCTGAGATGCTGGTGCTGTGGGCAACATCCATCCCTGTCACAGACAGTGAAATTGCTCCTAAAACGCAGGTGTCACAATAGTTTTGTGAGACTGAGCCTAGGATCCTGGCTCCATGGCCACTCCAAACACCTACACGTAGATTGCAGTGCCATGGCACCAGTTTGTAGCCTGTGTCAAACCTGAAATCAAGAAGAATCCTCCCTCAGCTAAGTCCCCCCTTTACGGAGAAAATAAGAATAGGAGGCCCCCCCAAAGCCCCTACCACCAAGGATATTAACCAAGGCAGCTGCTAGTGCTACAGCAAACTTCTCCAGCCCAGCCCACTGAGGCACCCACAGTTGTTACTGATGTTGAATCCAGCTGAAGAAGCTGCACAGAGACAATATATCACTATGTTCTTCCCCACTGGCATAGTAAAACCCAATTGCAGGTGGAAGTCTCAAAATGAAAGCTACTCTACCAGGTTTAGAAAAGGCAAGTATTACACCATGACCACAGACATCAATGTAGGGACACAAGAAATATGAAAAAGCAATGAAATATGACACCACTGAGATAGTAACTTCCTAGTTAAAGACCCCAGTGAAAAAGAAATAATGAGTTGCCAAAAAAGCA